AGTCGATTATCACATTCTGATAATCGACTGTTGCTCAGCTTTGTTACAAAAATCTGCAGAACGATGAATAATCGATTTTCAAGTTGATAATCGATTATCCATCGTCTTCTACCTCGAGCCAACTTGCGGAAATGTCACTTTTACTCACCAAACTTCAATTAAAGTATATAAAAATATTCTCCAAGGTTCATGGATCATTATAGCATCATTAATTCATAATTTTAACATCAATTTCATGGTTTATGATTCTTAGTTCTTCAAGCATGTCAAACACAAAACTCAACCAAATGACCATTTATGAACGTAGAAACGACCTATATGAACATTCTAGTCATTAGATATATCTAGGGGCTTACCTTAATGTTAAACGATGATTCCGGTGTAAAGACGGCGAAACTTCCGGCGACAAAAGCTCTCAACTCCGGCGACCTCTCTCTGAAATGGAATCACCAGCAAACTCTCCTCACTCAAGGCAGTAGAATAAAGAGAATTTTGGGATGATTTGGTGAAGAATTGAGGGAATAAAGATTTCTTAAATAGAGGAAGGAAGGAGAAGAAGACATGGATGAAATATTCCTGAGTCACCAAAATCGGATAGTGCGCCGTTTGTACAGTGAGCGCCGATTGGAGTGTAGTCCCTGATTGGGACTAATTACTGGTCCCAATTGGGGTACACTTTCTGGTCCAACTTTCTCCAAATTGAAATCCGATTGAACCGTTGGGGTCAGACAGTCAAACTCTACATAATGATATGATTTTCATTATTTATTGACAAACTTTAGAATTTACTTATTTTTGGATCCTTCTCAGTAATTAATTAATTATAAATTAATTAACTCTGATAGGCCTATTTTTGGGGTGTTACATTTCTCTCCCCCTTAAAATAATTTCGTCCTCGAAATTACCTGAGTCATTGGTTGAAGAGATTCGAATATTGCATTCTCATTGACTCTTCGGTTTCCCATGTTGCCTCTTCAGTCGAGTGATTCCTCCATAGCACTTTGACTAAGGGTACAGATTTGTTTCTCAATTGTTTGACCTCTCGTGCTAAAATTTGTACAGGTTCCTCTTCATAAGTCAATTGTTCGTCAAGAGTTACGATTCCCTCAGTCAAGATATGCGATGGATCGGAACGGTATCTTTTCAACATCGATACATGGAATACGTCATGGATCTTGTTCAATTCTGGTGGAAGTTCTAACCGATATGCTACTGGACCCACACGTTCAGTGATTCGATAGGGTCCAATATATCTCGGACTTAGTTTTCCCTTCCTACTGAAACGTAGCACTTTCTTCCACGGTGAGACTTTCAAAAACACCTTGTCATCAACATTATATTCGATCTCCAGACGTTTTAAGTCGGCATAAGATTTTTGTCGATCGGAAGCCACCTGCAATCATTCTCTGATTAGACGAACCTTCTCTTCAGTTTCGCGAACGAGATCAGGTCCTTCAAGCTTTTGCTCGCTTAATTCTGTCCACCATACTGGGGTTCTACAGCGTCTCCCATACAAGGCTTCGTACGGGGCCATTTGGATACTCGCTTGATAACTGTTGTTATACGCGAATTCCATTAGTGGTAAGTATTGTTCCCAGTTGCTTCCAAAATCAATTACACATGCTCTCATCATATCTTCAAGAATTTGAATTGTCCTTTCAGATTGTCCGTCAGGTTGAGGATGAAATGTCGTACTAAAGTTAAGTTTAGTACCTAAGGCTTTCTGCAAACTCTTCCAGAATTGCGATGTGAATCGCGGGTCACGATCAGAAATGATAGACAAAGGTACACCATGTAATCTTACAATCTCACGGATGTACAACTCTGCCAACTTCTTCAAGGACATATCACGTCGAATTGGGATAAAATGAGATGACTTGGTTAATCGATCAACAATTACCCAGACAGCGTCATTTTTCTTAGCTGATAATGGAAGTCCA